TTATTGTTTTTTACAGAATGATAAATGTGTTGTATTCTTTCTTTAATTGTATTCTATCTTTAATAGTAAGAATGTATTTTAATAGTAAGAATCTAAATATGTTCTTAAAAATTTTAGAAACTAGCAATTTTCTCATCTATGTTTGTTTCATATTGCTGATGTTTCTACATACAGTATTTCATCAAAGTCATGAAAATTCAATTGCATATGACGGATAATGTCGTCAGGTAACGTATTTTTGCTCATGGATATATAACTCTTGTTAAACTTTTGGGTATTTGCGTCTTGCACATAACATCACTTAGATTTCTTTCATTGTTTCTTTAGTTTTTTGTCGCATTACAATTAATTTTCGTAAGTTATTAGTCTGAAAAAGTATGCTTATAGAATTACAAATATCAAATGTAAGACAAGTAGAAATATGCTACAGTATTAATACAACTATCATAATAATACATCATTATTTGAATTCTAAGCAGTACAAGGAAGTCTCAATAAAATATTCAGATCAAAAATTATACTGATCTTAGAGCAGATAAAAGTTGCATTATAGTTGCAGTTAATGTAGTACTTCGCGATGTGAAACGTTTCATGCAATCATCACTTTTATTATTCTGTAATTCTTCATAGCTTTTCATCACATTCAGTAGTGATCCAAGCATCTGAAAAGTGTTTTTGATCTGAAATTTATACTTAATGAAGTAGTTTATTTATTAGATCCTATTTTTATGACTAGTTTGTTCATAAATTGTAGTAGAGACTTACGCTTATAACTTGAGAAAGCAAATAATTTACAGTATATCACAAGTAGGAATCTCTGTTTGTTTGGTAGTTTCTAAAAGAAAATTGCTCAATTAGATTTTTACAATTAAAGAAAGAATACAATTTATAATCACATACAAGAAGTACTCACGAATTACAGACCTGGTTAGTGTTTGAAGTTATTAATTGTGCTTGGAAAATAGAATTTGACTTTTGAATCATTTTTTCTGTGGTATGAGTTACCCTTTCTGATCTTTCAATAACTTCATTAATGATTGCGAGCAGATTCTTGTTATTTGCATCCTCGTTCATCATACTTACCATTGTCTCAAAATTACATGTTTAACATCGTATGCACATGAGAAGGATTTAACAATATAAATACAGAAAGTTGGGTATTTTATGAATAATTACAAAAGTTTTAAAAAAAACTGAGCTCTTATGCATAGAAAAAGCAGGTTGACTTTCTAAATTTTATTTTCTTCTTTTCGATTACTATCATTTTTTTTTAACTATTTAGTTCAGTTTTCTAAATTTCTGAATTATTTAAGTAAACAAATCAGAAGTTATCAGAGTAAACCAGGTCTGAATTGTCAAATTCTACTATCTTCAGTTCTTTTTGTAAATGGAATGTTAAAAAGAGCTGAAGATAGTAGAATTTGGCGTAATCTGAACGTAACAAGCGTAAAAAAAACTCGAGCTCTTAGTCATGAGTAATTGTGTCTGACTTCACTATTTCTTATTCATTTGCACTAAAAAATATTGAGTTTTACTATGATTTTAAAAGATTACGTATTTTTGCAACTGTTTGTGAAATTATTTACTTCTGCAACTTATTATTGTAGTTGTAAAAAAACACATACTTTACAAGCTCCTGCAAGCTTTCGACTTTCAGTTAGTAAATCACACCTTTCACTTTCTGAATCAAATGATTTACGTGGTGATTGACTTGGTAATGCAGTCATGGTTTTTTCAAGATGCTGTTGTGATTTTTCGATTCTAAAGTAAACTCTAAAGTTAGTAATACAGATTTTGTGGTTCAGTCTTTTTCATTACTCGCATTAGATATATTTATTCAATTTTGTTAAGCAATTAAAATGTTATGTTTGTAACAAGAATTGTGCTTTCATTTATGGTATCATTAGTGGCTGTTAAAAAGTTTTCATCCAATCAGTCTACTAATTTTACTAATCTTTAAATAACTGATGTATACTTAAATTACTGCCGAATAAATCTTTCAAATTTTCATGTTTTACTGATAAACACGTTTTACTTACGTCTTACTACAGTAATCAAACTTACTACATAATAAGAACAAAAAATTTTGTCCAACTTTCCTATTTCCTATTATCAATTCATTGTTCAAAATACTGATTACGTTTTATTAAAAAAATAATTACGTTTCATAAATGTCATCAAAATTGACAATTTGTTTTGACTTTTGAACTGGTTCTTGTTCTAGTATTTCATTCATGTTCAGATTACTTAAACTTTCCGAAATACACGCATTACAACGACGTCGATCACTATAAGTATCAATGAGGCTAGTAGATGGTAACAATTTCTTCTTGCTTTCATCTTTGGAAGTTTGTGCTTTCTTCAATCTGGAATGCAATATCAGTTTCCAAAAAAGTGCACCTATGGATATTGCATATTAAATTATTACAAGAAGCGTATTTTGAGCATAAATTTGAATGAAAATGATTGAAAGTAAAAGTTATGACGCATATAACTTCTAGCTTGTAATCATAAAGTGCGAACAACCTTTCTTTCCGATTCACAAACTCTTCAAGTCCTGTGAATTCAGCCAATGAGATGCGTCTTATGTGTACATTGTCATACTCAGACTGAAAGTAATCTTGACTTTACTTTAATTACTTTCAGCTAACTGCTTGTTTTTATGATTGACTGACATTCTTTTGAGTTTGTATTCATAAAGTGCAGTTATGGTTAATTGCATATCAAATTATTACAACAAGCATATCTGAGCATAAATTTGCATGACTAAATACGAAACGTTTATCCGAAATTTTTTTAGATGCAGAATGAATCCAAAAAGCACAAAAAAACAAGCTTAAAAATCTATTTATAAATGGTTGAAAGTAAAAGTTATGACGCAAATAATTTATAAATCCATTCCGTAGTAGTTCGTTCTAATACTTTTTTTGCATACAACCGATAAAAATAATTTTTTTTGCAGTAGTTTTTTCCTTTTTTTGTTTTGCTTTAATTTAAAATTAAGTCTTATTGAGTGAGTGAAACGTGAAACTTTTTGTGCTGTATTAGTGAACATTGCATGCTACAAATTTTTCCATAAAAATGAAATCAAATT